TAATGAATGACTCGAATTCAATCAATTATTATCTAGAAATCCTTATTCTACAGATCAATGATTTAAGGTTCATTTTCTGTTTAAATTTCATATGCACAATGTATAATATCTGTGCAGTACAATAAGATAAAGTTTACGACTGTAAAGGATTTCAATAGGTAAGAGTTAATTTTCTTTTAATTTATACGTAAATAAAATTATTATAAAGTCTTTGTTTATCTAAAAAAAATTATAGAAAAATTAAAGAATAATCCATTACTCTCACTTGCTCCATTTTGTTCGTAATAACCTAAAGTCTCATTCTTTTAATAGGTATTTTAACATGTGCCTAAATTAATCGATAAAAATATATAATTAAGTAATATATAATAATTTCAAAATGTGTAATATACATATATACACTAACCTTTTGGAATGTTTTCCCAGGTGGATGTTTACGTATTAATATGCTTGACGTATTAGAATTTTGTTTGATATCCTATAAAAAATATATATTGAATATTTTTAAAAAAGAAAAAATCTTTTTTATACCACGTATAAAATAAAATATTTACTTTGTTTTCTGAACATTTAATATTTGAGAAATTAATAGTAGCTAAATTTTCCTTGACTTTTGCTTTTTGTGTTTCTTTTGTTTTTGATGTACCTTGCATGTCTGTTGATTTATTTTTAACAACTTTTACTTGTTTAATGACTACAATATCACTTGAATCACTTTCTTCGGATTCAATAATTTCTGGTGAAAATCGATTTTTAGAAGTAGTAGGTCTCATATGAGTAGTTAATTCTTTCTCATTATCTAACATTTTTTGTGAAGCTACATCACTTTGTCTATTAACGCTATCGCCAATTTGTAATGTTTCCACAACATAATTTTTGTCTTTTCTATGACAAGATCTCTTTTCCATTGCAGAATCATCTTTTGTTAAAAGTTCTTGATCTTGTGTATCAATAACAAGAGTTTCAGGTAAATTGTAATTAACCTTTTCTTGTCTTTTGAAAATACTTGCAAAATTATATTTAGTATTACAATACCGTTCAATAGAACAATATAAAATAGCAAGTGATATTTCAGATTCTGGTATAATTCTTTGCTTTAAACTTTTCAATGTATTACCTGAAAATTATTCATTAAAATTTATAAATAATATAAATTGTTTTATAAAGAAAGTCAACTTACATATATTATCATATTCTTGCGTAACATCTTCCTTCAACTGAGTTTCATCGCTATAAGATAATTGTACAAAAATGAAGTTATTTTGCAATTTGACAGTCTGTTTATTTTTTTTATAATTAAATAAAACTGACTTTCCACCTAAATTATATTAAAGGACGAATTAGCATTAATTAAAAATGTAAAAAAATTGCAATTAATTGTTTACCTGCTAATGTGATCATTGGTTTATACATCTCATATTGTTTGAAATAAAAAAAGTTAAATATCAAGTTTCTAAATAATGTTTTGCGTTTATCATTTGGACGAAGAGAAACTATTCCTTTGGAAATGTATTGCTCGCTTATCTCTGATATATAATTATCAGTTTTAGGAAGTGGATTGCTCTCTTCCACAGCAGATTTTACTGCTTTCCAATAATCCATAGTAACAATCGGTAAACCAGCTGCTAATGATACAGCTACCTAAAACATACACACATATACATACATACATACAAACATACATATTATATATATATATATATCAAATGTATCATATAAAATAAAATAAAAAATCAGATAAAAAATATTCAAGAAAGAAAAATATGTTATTACAAACCTTCTCTGTCAATTTTGGTTTTAGTACCGTTAAATGTGTACAAAACTTTTCCCAATGAGCTGCAATAACACCGTCAATATATCCCAAAATTTCATGAAGTTTGCCTTTTTCGCTACCTTGCAATCCAGATGTTAATGTAACTATAGGTATATATGTGACTCTGTCAAATAATATGATAATAAAAATAGTATTTTAAGACCTCAAATATAAGAAATATGATGAAAAATATGAAAAATTTACTTAAATATTTCTTCTTGTAGGCCAATTCTTATTATATCTTTATCTTTTAAATTTACATCTGTTATCACCTTTTTAAATGTATCATTTTCAAAAATAAAAGTTCCATATTTAGATCCTTCATCTTTGAGTATGCATAAAGCTGTAGGGTCATCCATCTAAAAAAAGAAAAAAAAAAGAAAAGAAAAGAAAAAAGATAAGAAAAAAGATAGAAAAATTAATAGAAAAAAATTCGGTGCAACTATTCTAGAAAAATATTTCAATCGAACATGAATTACCATATATTTTGTTTGAGGAATAACTACAATAGAGGCATGAAATTTACTAATGGAAGTATCATGTGATAGAATAATATCACATTTCTTTCTACCTATTGACACTGGAATATTCGGCTTAAAATATATGAGCTTTCCTAAAATCATGATTGATCAATTATCATATTTATATCAAAAATAATTGTAATAGGTTAAAATATATAATATTACCAGTAGGACTTGTTAATAACCACATTTTCACGATAATTAATGTATTTTTCTGATAATACTTTTGCTTGATTTCAAACACCTAACACATACAAATTTATTGCCGACATACGAGTATCAAAACTGTTTTATTGCGCACGTGCAGATATTGTGGTGGCTCTTTGAACAGTTTCACAAACAATTGACAATAATTCGATGACTAAAATGTAAACACTGATAGTACAGTCACAAAACTGCAAAAATACGCATTGATAATTCTTATAAAAGTTATTCTATTCCATTGACGTTTGAAAATGTGTAATCGAGATACGTAATAAAAAATAATTAAAAATATCGAAAATATCAGAAGTATTTACTACGAAAGATTTGCGCGCTCCTTTGTCGATAGTAAAAAATGCCCGCGTATTATGTCACGGCTAAAGCTATTTGTTTTTCTTTATAAGTAACGATTATTTCATACTTTTTAAAGTTGATTAATTAAAACATAACTTTAAATAAAAGTAATCATTGATTGATGCATCTTGTCCATGTTATTAATGTGATATTAGTATTAGAACACATAATCCTATGGCAATTAATGCTTTTTTTTTTTTACCGCGATTTTAAATTCATATCAAAGAACAATAAATTTATTTATTTTGTATAAATAAAAAATAAAAGTAATACTTTGCATATTTACATGTACTATATATTTTTTTTTTCTTAAATAAAACTATCTAAGGTATATTCTTGTTCAATCGAAAAATGACGTATTCTATAATAATAATAATTGAAACAGGTAATTAAAAAAAAAAATACTTTCCAATCATAATAATACGGGATACAAATGGATAGGAATTAAAATAAATTCTATATTTCGTTATAATACATGTGATAATAAACATGCATTGTGTATTATATAATGTCGGAAAGTATTCATCTAACAATAATATTTTCAACTTGTTTATCAATGACGAATTATAATCGTATCTGTTTGACGTTATTTTTATATTTAATATTTAAAATGTTGTAAAGAATTTATATTTTCTGACAATATATATATATATTTGTTTATATATTGTACATATTTGTTACTACAAAATTATTAAAAAAATTATTATATTTTATTTTACTTAAAAAAAACAACAATGAAACGGAAAAAACCACGTGGGCGGCAATTAAATAATTAAGTCTTAAAAAATATGATACAAAAAATAAAATAGGAAATTTTCTAATTTAAAAATATAAAGGCCGAAGTGTAAGTTAAAACAATATAAAATATTTAACCTCACGATTGCAGTTCATATTATGAACTCGTAATGATCGGAAAACCGAGATATTGTACTCGAGTATCCAATAAAAAGATTTAATTAAAAATAAATATAATAAATTAAATGACAATATATTTCGTAAAATTTTCCATAACTAAAATCTTTTCGTATATATGCAAACAAATGATTAAAATTTTTTTTTCTTTTTTTTTTCTTTTTTTTTAACTACATCAAACAAAAAATTTCTGTAAATTCTGATTATATTCTAATTACTAACAGATATTAAAATCAGATAAAACACATATAATCACTTCTTGATTTCTAAAATTTAGTACATGATATAATATATTGTGTGTTTATTTTATCATATTTATATTGTTTTTTTTAATTTAAGTTTTTACATGTGTAATTATGATATATAATCATAATTTCATAATTTATGCTGCAGGTAAGGAAGCTCCGGCCTGTGCTATTATTTCTTTATAAAATTCTTTGCATATCACATATGTTAATAATATTCTTGTACACCAAATGGAATTGTTGATATCAATCTTAAAGTTAGTGCACATACATTAATATATACACCATCAATTCTATTCATTGTAACGTAGGCTGCGTAAAATCAGTTTTTTATAGTACATAATGTAATAAGTTCACCTTCTCTTAACAATTAAAAATAAAGATGCTTAACTCATGAAATGTTCATCGCGTACTCATAGCAAATGCATAGAGAAATTATATTTTTATTACATGTATTGTAAATGATTACTTAAGCATCTTCTTTAATATTCATTTTATGCAATATCAGAACTTTACTAAAAACACATATTACGAAAATGCATAAATCAATATATTCGCAATATACATAATACCATAGATCTTTTACTGAAATTCAATGGTGTGCATTTTATCAATATAATCCAATAAACCTTGCAATCTTTTCTTCACTCTTTTTTGGTCATCTAAAGTACATCCAAGGATAGCAGTTTCAAAATTTTTGTCCGAATGACCTATCGCTTGAGAGGAACAAGCATTCATAAATGCAGCACATTTTTGTCGAGTTCCACTAGGGTCTTGACGAAGATTAACAATTAAACTATCTATTAAACCATTTACCTGAAACACACATATTATATTTTACTATAAATGATATAATATAATTTATATGTTAAAAATTTTTTTTTATGTTATAACAAAAAAAAAATATATATATATATGATGAAACATACTTGATGTAATGCCTCCTGCTGCACATTATCACGTTGTATCTTTACTAAAACATCTACGGTTAAACACCGCATAGACAATCTTTCTGCATATCGTAATACATCATCTTTGTCTGCTGCTTAAAAAGGGCATAAAGATCTTACTATTAATATGTAATCTAAATATTTATGAATTAACAACATTTAAAAAAATAATACACAGCATGAACAATTTTATGAATTGAAAATTACAATTATCATTTATATATATATATATATATATATATATATATACATATATATACGCATATATATTACTTAACCTAAACATATATATTACCTATTTGTTCTTTGAAACAATGCAAAGCCATGATAATGAAATCTTTTGAATAATTCTGTTGTTGTTTTCTTTTTGCATTTTTTATAAATTAATATAAACTATAAAGATTATTGAAATTCAAACTAATAATTACTAAATAAACTATCTTGATCAAATATATTGATTTTCTCGAACTTTTTCGACTTGGGTATTTTAATTAATAGAGTTGAAGAGTATAATTTTTAAATGAAAAAATGTAAAAATTTATATTAAAACGTATCTAAAACATCGACACTATCATATAAACATCTAAAAACAAAAATGTTATCGTGTTTGAGAAAAGAAAAAAAAAAGAAACGTGAATGACTTGATATGATTACTTCTACGAACTGATAATATAACTTTGCAACGTTTCAACGAGATTTCTAGATACAACTTGAATATTCGAATAGACAGATCTTATGATATCAATTAAAAAACTCACGTTCTTCCAAGGAACCTAGTAGTTCGTTGTTTCTAATGGTATCTAAAGTACTTAATAATGTATCCTTCTCTTCTTCAAGTCTCCAGGCATCTCTTCGAAGTTGTTCTACATGTAATTCTATTTGATCCAATAAATTAACTAACCTATCTTTCGGTTTTGTCGTACTATCACAATCCACACTTTCGATAATATGAGAACTCTCCATTCTAACGAAAATTTTCAAAAATAAATCCTCCAATAAATTTTTAATATATTGATGTGTTTTTACAAATTCAATAATTACTTTTTCAGTTAAACGTTTCATAGAAGGGATAAAACAGACTGCTGACAGAACTTCAACATGCGAAAAGATGAATGTAGAACTGCAGCTATAATCATCGTGGCCAACTTTATACTTGGCCTGTTCGAACAAGTAAAAAGCACGTGACATTATGATTGGCTATATAGATATGTTCGGCGGGATATTTAAACTTACGATAATTTCTCACTGATACTATTCAATTTGATCGTTTTTTTTTTTTTTTTAAGAAAATATAATAACTAAATGATATACGAATTTATTAAAAAATACATTATATATTGTATATATTGTATTTTCTTTATGTACATATATATTATACATATTCATCATTGCATTATCCCACATATATTTATACTTCATGAACACCTTTTATAAAAGCTTCGACTGAAGAGATCGGCGTATCTGGTAAAATGCCATGACCCAAATTTGCTATATATCTACTTTTACCAATTACATTTACCATTTCTTGAGCTCTATGATTAACATTATCCTAGTAATAAAAAATACTTATATATACGCAAATCCGTTTCTTTTTTTTTTTTTTAATGAAATAAAAGTTTTTAATAATTACTGCAGTGGTAAATAATGCACATGGGTCCATATTTCCTTGTAAAGTAACATTAGTTCCCAATCGATTTCTTGCTTCCACTAGATCTACAGTCCAATCTAGACCTATTACGTCATAGCATTGTTCTTTTGCAAGCATTTCTAAAGAATTCATTGTTGCACCTTTAGGAAAAACAATCTACAAAAAAATGTTGGTGTTGTAATTGTTGAAATATTAAAAAAATGTTTAAAGAAAATAAATTTTACCATTGGTACTTGCGTAACATTTTGTTCTTTCAATTTTGCCTTTACCTCATTACTAATTTTTATAAGATATGGAAGAGAATATTTGGAAAATAGTTCATCATTAAGATAATCTCCATTACTTTCAAAAACTTGTAATAACTACAATATAATATTGAATGTTAATGAATACTCGCATATTATATAATAATTACAATTAAATAAAAAGTTAATTATAACCTGAGCACCAGCTTTAACTTGCATCACCAAATAATCTATTACTACATCAGTAATGAGTTTTAACAATTGATGTGACTCATTTGGATATTTGTAGAGCCAAATGCGTGGTTTAGCCATTGTAGAACTACCACCGCCTTGAATCATATAACCCATCAATGTCCACTAAAATTATATGATGATTATTGCATATTGGTGTTAATATATATTGTTTGAGACAAATATAAATAATATTAACGGGTGCTCCAGTAAATCCTATAAGCGGGACCTTTCCTTCTAGCTTATGACGAGTTAATGTTATTGCATCTCCAACATATTTCAAATCTTTTTCTACTTCAGGTTTTACTAATCTTGATAAATCTGATGGATCATTTAAGGGTTGAGGTAAAACTGGACCCTATATAATCGCATTAAAATTTTTATAAGAATATATACTTGAACTAATACTATATAAACTACTTACAACTTTCGGAACCATTTCAACTGTCAAACCCATTGCTTGTGGAATTGTTAAAATATCAGAAAATATAATGCTTGCATCTAGATCAAAGCGTTTAATAGGCTGTAACGTTACTTCACATGCTAATGATGGATTTTGACAAATGTCAAAGAAATCATGCTTAGCACGAACTTCTTGAAATTCTGGAAGATAACGTCCTGCTTGTCTCATAATCCATACAGGAACTTTATCTACTGATTCGCCACGAATTGTTTTGAGAATTCGATCATTTTGTAAAGTAGGAAAATTGTGCTCTGTCATACTATAGGCACAAATATTTTTATGTAAACTTGTGAATTAAATTGTCTGAAGTTTGTGTGTGATCATATTATGATTAATGACGTGTATGTGCTTTAATTTACCTTAATGATATAGTTAAATTTTGTATAAAAGTAAAAAATAATTTATATCGTTCAAAAATGTTATAAAAATTATTAACTGGTTTTGTTCTCCAACAATCAATTTAAACGTAAAGAACTATAGCTTCATCACGTTTTACACGTAAGATATTGCATCTATATATATATATATATATATATATATATATATATATATATATGTAGGCTTACACATTTTTGATTTTTACCGACAGAGCTTGTTTTCTTTTCATAAAAATGATAGAGAGTAAATTTGTTTTCTTGTAGAGTGCGTTGCAGTGCATTTACTCTGAATCCGTGACTACTAACTGCTATTCTGGATATTTCCTTTTTCCGGTATAATTGCATCACGGTAAGCCGCATATTCGATTAAAATATTGTCAAATCTGTGTTTAAAAAAGAAATCCTTTTGATTTGTTAATATTAATATATATAGAAAAATATAATTGTGTGTCGTGGAAATATCATTTCAATGTTTTTTAACTAGGTTATTTTTTCTGATGTTTTAGGAGTTCCTGATCAAATACTAATAACATTCATAATGGTAAGTTTTTATTAATATTAATGGTGTTATCTTTCAATATTTAGACGATAAAAAAAAGAATAGCAACGAACGGGCCAACTAATGGCTTTTTTTTAATAATACCAATTAGGTCTTATAGAAGTGACCATGAACTAATTGATTGTTTACTAACTCTAATTAAACATGATATTCATCTGAAAAATAACATTTGCCATTTTACGTAACATTATTTTCAAAAATTTTCTAATAATCTATAGAGATTAAGTATTAAAAAAGAAATTATACTTTGTTCGTAGTGTTATCATGCAATAAAATTAATTGCTGATACCATTAATTTTCATGTTTATCTTTTTTATATGGAACTTTTAAAGGATTCTTTAATACTAATTAAAGTGTTACATTTCATTAATTTTACATATAACACGTCATGCCATTTTTTATAGCCACGTGAAATCAAAGAAATCAAGGACTTCCTTCTGAAGGCAAGGAGGAAAGATGCTAAATGTAAGCATTAATGACACTTGCTTTAAGAGATTCTCTATAGACAAAATTTTAATACTTAATCGTTCTTTTTTTTCAATAGCGGTGAAAATTAAAAAGAATGCAGACAATGTTAAATTCAAAGTTCGTTGCTCAAGATTCCTATATACGCTCGTAATTACAGACAAAGAAAAAGCAGAGAAATTAAAACAATCTTTGCCTCCAGGTACAATATAATTTTAAGAGAGTATCAAACTTATTATTTTAAAATAAAGAAATTTTTTGACATTTTAAATATTTATTTTAGGCTTACAAGTAAAGGAAGTGAAGAGAAGTGAACGTATGTAAATGATTCAATAAAGTATCATTGTGTTCATAAATATGTAAATTTATTGATTTCCTTTACTCGAGTTTCTTTTCTTTTTCACAAAAGCAATTTATTTTATCAATTTGCTTTAAAAAATTATACTTTTTTTCTTTTCAATATTATGTACGTAGGATTATTCTAGAAAAGAAAAAAAGGAAAAACGAATACTACTAATTAATATTTCTGAAGGTCTGGAAGCTTGTTTCTAATTATATAAACTTATTTGTATAGCTTAATTCACATTAATTTCTCTCTTGAATTTTTAATATTATTTTATACATGAATATTTTTTGAATATCAGATATTCATAAAATGAATAATACAATTCAATCACTTAAAATTCTAAGATATTTCTGGGTGACATTAAAATATTTATCATTATGTATTTCACAGTACTTAACTCGTTGAAATATATAAAGTGTTTCTTTATTTTGTCTACAATTGATAAAAAATTGTTATTATTTATATGTGAAAAGGTGTATGAAAAAATAAACTTAATATATTTCCAATATTAATTTCAAAACACAAGAATTGCATACAAATTAGTTATAAAACATTTATAACGACCTAATATTATTATTTTTGCTCCTCTAGTAATAACATAGTTCTTCTAAAGAACTATAAAGATAAAAAATGTATACTGTAACTTTTGCTACAATAAGAAGTGTCAATTTTATTCTTTTTTCTGGGTGATATATAAATTCTTGGAAAAAAAAAAAAAAAAAGAAAAAAAAAAAGAAAACAACAAAAATAGTGAGAAAATTTTAATCAATTTATAACTTCTTCATTCATAGCACTCGTGATACGTAGCTCTGTAAAAAATTATTTCACATATAATCAGAAAAAAATAGGAGAAAAAAAAACAAAAACAAAAAATACAAAATAAATCTACCTTTGTTTGTCCATATGTCGACGTGAGAGTCTTCTGCCTGAATCATGTGTTGATAATGTGTAACGTTTTGTATGAGTAGGATTTGTTCTTAGTTCTCGCATATCTGTAGTTTTTGCCTTTTCTACTTTTTCCATAAATTTAGTTATAAGATCAGGACAATTTAAATTTTCTTCTGGCTCCCAAGTGTCATCTGCAGCAGTAAATCCTTTCCAACGAATAAGGAATTCTTTCTTTTTATTTTTTTTGAAATGTACTTCTATTATTTTATCAACTTCGAACTCCTTTTGACTCTCGTCATTTTTAATTGCACTATCAGATTCATTCTCCTCTTCTATAAAAAGAAAAAAAAAAAAAAAAAAAAAAATAATATAACTATTTCATAATAAAAAATACATACACTATTATATACATAGACACATTAATAAAAAAAGAAAAAAAAATTTATAGTATATATGTATGTGTGTGTGTATAATTATAATTAATGGTATTTATTACATAAATATATATAGAAATGAAGAGAATAAAGCAAACCTTCTGATAAATTGGATTGTCTTTTATTATGTTTAGATTTTTTCATTTCTTTTTTCTTGTCTGTTTTTGGTGATTTGATTTTAATTGGTTTAGCAGATTTTTCTGATATTGTTTCTTCAGTTTCAGCATCTTCCGTTAGAAAATCTTCGATAAGTTTAGGACAATTCAAATCTTTTTCCTGTTCCCAGGTATCTGAATCCTCTCCGTATCCTTTCCATCTTACGAGAAATTGTCGTCTGCCTTTGATGGTACGATGACCAACGATCTTATCGACCTGGAAATCGAACTATAATGTGAATATACAGAAAGGAGGTATAATCTTCGAAATTATATACGTTAGGCGGGAATCGACCGGCACGCCATTGCTATAAACTATTACCTCATACTCTTCTTCACCGGCTGCTGCACCGCGGCTAGACGTAGGAGATGTCTTTTGATCTGTTTTCACTTCGTCCTTTTTACGTCTTTTGTTTGCTCCCCGCCTTGTTACATTACCATTTTCTTGCTCAACGCTATTCATTTCATCCGCATCTTCCAGTTGTTTCTTCGATTTCGATGTTTGTTTGTTATTTGCTATTGGCGTTGTTTTTTGTTCTTCACTTTGACGCCCCCGAGAAAGACGCTTTTTTCCGCTCGACTTTCGATTCAATTGCGGACTCTGATCCTCATTTTCGTCGGATTCCTTTTCCTTATCCTTCTTATGATTTTCATCGGCATTAATCATGCTATCGGATATATCGTTACGTTTCTGTGACTGGACGCCATTTTCTTCAGTTTCGCTCTCACTGTTTCTCTCGGACTTCCTGCGTTTTGTTCGCATGCTGAGTCTTCGCATACTAATCCGTCGACAATTTAATACAGACTGGAAAATTACCGTCTGGTCACGATTTTGAGATAGATATTATATTTTTTTTAACGTTCTATGCGCGCCAGAATGCTTTACTATGCTTTACCGCCCTTTTCTTTCACCACTACCACCATCACCAACTCCACCGCCACCGTTGCCACCGCCGTTGCTGCCGCCGCCACCGCCGCCGCCGCCGCCGCTATCACTACTACCACCACACTACACGCTGCTGCACCACGAGACTCGATCCCGTTACCTATTTATCACTGAAGAAAATTTCACGAAGATATCCTTTACACGAAATTTATCATAAATATGAGAGAATAGAACGATATAAAATGAATATACTTTTATTGACGTCAAATATTAAGGGGGGTGAGGGGGAAAATATCTGCATATTTTGTTTAATTTGACAAACGCAACATTCAAATTAAATTTTATATTATTACGATGTTACTGGTTGGCTATATATACAATCATTTCAAACTTTTCCGTGTTCGCACCTGGATCATAAATATCACATTGGATTCATATATTTGATATATATATATCTACAATAGAAAACCTTCGCAAAAGGAATTCACGTTATTATGCAAACGAATTCTTTTATTTTTTTTTTCTCTTCTTTTTCTTCTATACAATAATGTATATCGTGTACGTATGCGTATCCATCAAAATAATTTTAATACAATAAATTATATATTATTAACATATAGTTTTATCATTGTTTCATTTTTATTAGAGATTATAACTACATCGGAAATAAATATTATAAATTCAGTGTTATTACGATGGGCTATAAAATTGGATAAATCCTTATTAAATTATAAGCGAAAGCTGATGTCTCAATGCAGAATTACAAAAAGGCCACCACGTTCAACGTGTATTCACGGTGATATTCATTTTATATCCTCCTTTCATTGTTCCTTCTACACATTGAGTTCGGTCACTCACATCACACATACATAAGATCCCCCACAAGCTTTCATATATAATGTTAACATTCAATGGAAGATACTGATCGCAAAGTGAAATCAGCAATTCATCGGTTTAACCATCATATGTAGGAATGATCAAATATATATTATTAGAAAATATAAACTTTTGTCATTTTAATAAATGCCATATATAGTTCGATTGATGATTTTTATTGATTTCATTTGCAACGATCTACGATTATATGAGGAATATTCTTTGAACTTCAATTAATTATGTACATGATATAAGTTATTTATATAATATTGTTAATAATAACCAAGTACTATATATTGTTTCGTTAATATGTAGTTCAAGAAACAAGTCAATCAAGATATCACCAATACCGATTAATATTAAAAACTTATAAAAATTAATATTAAAAACTGACCAATCAAATAATAATTAACTAATTTAACGAATCTAAAGATTTCTATAAACAAATTATGAGTTCCCAATGTGTTGTTATTCAATATTATATTGACTGTGCAATTAGAAAAACTTGATCGATCATAAGGAATATTGGATTAATATTAAATATTAATTATTTAAATATAGCACACAACTTTTAAAGGCATCATTCACAATGATGTAAGAGATTTAGACCAAAGATTTGAACAAAAACAGTCCCAATTGCCCTTTTCTTTGTCTAGGGGATTTTCATTATAACTACCGAAGTATTATAACTGATATACTATAGACCGATGATGATAAACCATTGATTTATAATTTTACAATGCTATTAATTACATAATTTTATTTACATTACGTAACTTTAACGTAACATATATATAATAGTAAATCAGAAAAAGAACGATTTAATTTTTACCTATTGAAACTCCCCCTGAATATATACATATATACATATATACATGTATATATATATATAATATTTAAAATGGAAAAATCTACCATTAAATAACTACAGAAAGATAAACAATTGATTGAGTTTATTCAAAGCTAAACAAAAGCTTATGGATCTCTCTAATTATACTAGTATATTCTTAGAAAAGTCGTTCTCTATTGATGGATACAATAATAGAGTCCGTAACTAAAGAATTCCATTAAAACCTGAGTTGGCAGATGTGACGTTACATACGCAGCATATATACGAAGTTACTCCATACGAAAAACAATGATCCAAATCTACACCATTTTTTCGTCCCTTGTGTTAAATTTATCAAGGTGCAAGGAACATAGAAAGAAAGAGAAAGAGCGAGCGAGCGAGCGAGCGAGCGAGCGAGAGAGAGAGAGAGAGAGAGAGAGAGAGAGAGAGAGAGAGAGAGAGAGAGAGAGAAATACGATCCAAATCTTATCATTATAAAGTATATGGTTTATGGAACTGTAAACTACATAAGGATTTTAAAGACTACCATTGGACGGGTTATAGTAACCTGATATTTTTGCTGGTTGTTTTTTTAGTCACGGAATGAATTACGATAGATCGAAAAGATGTTATAAAATTCAAATTACTCTCGTAGAGATTCTCACAAATAATATTTTTGTCAAGTTGTTTCTAGAATTTATTCCTAAAGGATTCTATAGAAATGGACTATTCTATAACTGATTGATCGCATTAAGCACACTTGGACGATTTCGCATAAATATAGATTTTCCGATAAATGTTTATATACACATATATGAATAATGGATCAAATAATAGATCGTTATAACTATTGTATACAATAACAAATATTGGAATGATTTGATCTAGTCATCTCATATCATATATATGTATATAAGCTACTTTACAGTAAACATCAAACAAAACCAACGATGATAATTTTTATGGAACAACTTGAGACCCCTTATTTTATAAGGAAAAAGAAACTCACGAAATAATTGAAGAAGAAAACGTTAGAGGAGTCAACATACCCAAAAGGATTATAAAATAGTTTGATAGAAGGAAATGAATAGTTGACCTTGTGCGGATGGATGTACAGATATTCCAAGTTAATCCATTACTAGTGAAATTCCTATCAAAGATCCATAACACTCTTTAGGGGGTCAGAGGGTGGAGTAGAAGAAGGCCAGAGGGGTGAAAAGGAAATATTGTTAGACACGTAAAAAACTACACTGTGTCCTTATTTCTTTGGCACAAGCACATGTCAAACACCAATTAAACACTGGACAAATCTTATTCAACCAATAAAAAACGAGATTTAATAGTTTATAGATTATTTGGATCAATGATATTTTGATCGGTATATTTTATCTAAACGTTTCGGGCCCACTTTGTGAATTTATTAAATACATGCGCAATATGCGACTTTTCACATAGGCCGATCAGTAATATATCGAATATTATAATAAATATATAAAGAGGAAGAGAAAACAAAAAAAAAATATATATATATATATATATATATATATATATAAATAAATTTAGATTCTCCGTAGAAAGATTTTCGTAATGTTGTTAATTTTTCGTAATAAATATTACAAGATATAACGGTTCATTTGATTGTTTATAATAAAATAATTAATTGAATCCAATCTAAATCTGTTCAAATCTTATTAAATTTTCATTTCTATTTCCCCCTACCGCTACTGTTTCGAATCTCTTATTGTATAAGAGTGCACGAACGATAAGGATAATAGTATATATATACATATATATATATATGTATGTATATATATATATATATATATATATATATATATATATATATATATATATATATATCTATATGTATGTAAATAATGTAGCGCGAAGAGATGCGTATCATTTGTTTCCGAGACATCAAGGCCCGATGCAAGAGTTCTGTTTCATATTTCTTATATGTTGATTCATGTAAATTCTTATTACATAAAATACTATATAAAATTGTTAATACGTATTTTTTTTGTTTTCTTTTTTATATTTATTATATTACTTGCAATAAGATCTTTATTAATTTATATTTCGATATATTACTATTTCTTCATCATATTTGTTAAACCATATTAATTGATTGATCACAATTTACAAAAGTAAACTGTATTGTATGCCTATTTGATTGTCACCATATTGTCTATATATCAATTTACGACTATTAAACCGGTTGATCACAAGAAGAGATTTCTCTCCTTATTCATTTAAGATCCTCTTTCTACCTGCCTTGTTAATCTTCCAATCCTATTATACGAAGCTGAGTATGATTGTATATTGTCAATGTTAATATATATTCTTCTTTTTCTTCTATCATACGACTTGTTTATAATTATAAAAGCACATAATATTATTATCACAAAACTTGATGGAACATAGAAAACACTATGATACAGATTAGTGCATTACGCGTACACTTGCTTTTCGCTTTCGCGAATCCGATTAATTCTAATTATTTCCGCGATAGAGCGCTGTCAACGTTAACAAAAGCAATTAGCAAGGTTTTCATATAATGGCGCCAATTTCAAATTTCACATTTCTGCTCTAATAGATATGTATAACATATTTAATACAGAGAAATATGTGCAATTGAAAAAAAATATAAATATATTTAATTAACGAGTTCTTCGATCAAGGAAATATCATATGCATTATTTTTAATCTATTGATGATAGAAGAAATGAATTCCTTTTAATAAACAACAATCAAGAAGCATTTATCAATTGCCGTGGCAACCATCTCATGTTGAATCTTTCTCACTAACGATTTTTTCGATTTCTTATGTTTGTCCTCGTTCATTGAATTCTCATATCAGTAGTTCGACTGAATTAGAAAATAAATTCTCTTTATAATGGCTAAATCTGTGACTGTTTATGAAAAACCAATACCACATATAGGTATGTATCGATAATAATATTCAGGTATAATATAATAAATTTAAATAAACTGAAGGTGATTTATTTAAAAAGGATTACCCGATTGGTATGCTAAGCAATGGGAACTTCAGCAAAGTGTAGGAAGTAGAACATCTGATGCATTTGAATTACGTAATTCAGGAAGGATCACTCGATCCGAAACAAGAATTAAAACAGAATGGAATACATATATGAATAATGTCCGACTGGCAGATAGGTGAATATTATTTTTGAAAAATGATACATATTGTTTAGATATAATAATTAAATGTAATGATTTATTATCAATAGGATAACAGAACTCTCTAAATGGGAAGAATTATTTGAACATTTATTAGAAAGATTACTCTCTGAAATACATCTTTTAAAAGATGAGAAAGCAAACACGGAAAGAGAAATAGATACATTAAATTATCCTCTACAAATTACTGCAGAATGTATTTCAATGAGAGATTGCCGTCGAGGAACGGAGCTTACTTACGATGAGGCTGATACAGAATTGAAAAAAGAACTCTGTGTTATCGAAAATGTTAAAACTTTTTTGACCGATAAGTAAATGTGTATTTATTTTTATTATATTATACTATATATATATATATATGAAGGTAGACTACAGAGTAGTAGACTAAAAATTATTTTTATGCATTTCCAACAGGGTGCAAGCCGCGTGGGAAAAATTAAATTGTTTGGAAGAAGTTAAATTTAAAATAAGTTTAGATATCGAAGATAAGAATGAAACCACTAGGATTGATAAAGAAAATCTTGAATTGGATCGTACTTGTGCTAATATTAGTTATAAACCGAATGCTTTAAAAAGATTAAAAAAGTAAGTTTATTATAAAATTGATGAATGTCTTGTATACTAAATATATATTCATTGTATTATAGTGAGATATCTTATGAAGGTTGGACAGAATATTGCAATAATTTAAAAATTTTGGCTGACAATGAATTAAGTGATGTATATAGTTTTCGGGAAGGTATGCAAGTTATGCGCGAACGTGCAAACAATGATATAAAAGCTCAACAAGATGTTACTGACTTTGCCTTAAGAAAACGTATATATCAAACTCAAAAAGCTAGAAACGAACTTGAATGGCAGAAATTGAAGGTATATGATTCAATATATACATTTTTTCATATTTAAAAATAAACATAAATTTTATATCAATATTACAGATGCATAAAGAAATGGAAAATTTACAGAAAGAAATTGTACGATTAGAAGATGAATTTTTACATAAAACAGATGCAATAAAATGTGCCGAAACAAGATTAGAAAATCGTAGCTATCGACCCGGTTTTGAATCGTGCGAAGATGAAGCACAAACGGGTTTAAGAAATGAAGTTTTACAGCTGAGAAAAACAGAAAATGAGTTAGCTAAAGCAATTGAAAACGCGAAGTACGTATTTATGTAAATATTTTATTATTCATGAATATATCTTGTAGTGTCTGTTTTTATAATTTGCTTCTTACTTCTTTTTTTTATAGAGCAACATATAATGGTCTAGAATCTTTGCTTCTACGAGTTGATAAAAATTTAGAAGATAAACAGCACTCACTTTCAACAGATATCATGTGCTTAGATATGAGATCAACATTAAAAACTGGCGATAGGACAAAATTACCTAACGAAACAGATCGTAATATTGTACTGACTCGTATGGAGAAAGAAATACCACTGGAATCATAAATTTTAATCTCACATGCTGATTATTTATGAATCAGTGAAATATAAAATACATACAAGTGTGGATTTTTATATATCTAATATTTCATGAAACTGAATTTATTGAATCAGGATTAGCTTTAATTAAAGCATATTCAGAAATGAAAGTATCGGTCAAAGGTGCTTCTAAAGTTTTAACTGCTCGTCTGTGTATCTCTCCAATTTTTTTCGGATCTCCATGTTTCATTTCAAATATGATATAATCTATCCAAACCTTAGTATTATTTTTACCAAATTGTAAAGCCGCCATTTCATGAGGACGTCTTGCATATTTTAATACAACTTCTGGTTGAATAAGTTCTAATTCTGCCATTTTTTTGTGTAATTCAAGACACATTGGTGGTTGTAAACAAAGACTATCGTACATTTTCCGAGCGATTTGAATACCTAAAATAACATATTTAATAATATATATACATATATAATTTTATGATGTTTGAAATCTAAATTATAAGAAATAAAACTTTTTGATAGATACTTTTGGTTAAAACTAGCCATTCGATATAACTAGGCTTCATATCTTTAGAAATGTTAGGATGTTCTTGAACTGCAGCTTGAAAAATTTCTTCAGTTTTATCAGGATTTATAGCTTGTGTATGTAAAAGTTTCATTCTCCATAAAGGTAATGACTTCTCACCAAGAATTTCTGTTGCCTGTGCAAAAGTAAGAAGTTGAAGATATTTTCTTTATTCCGTTCTACTAGAAATATTTAAAAAATAAATATAAAGATATTACTTTTACGAATACAGAAGTAGCTTCCTCTTCCTGTCTTGTAACTAATAAATGTCTTAATCTAACATGCCAAAGACTAACACTATTTGGAATAATTTCAGTAGCAGAGGAAAGAATTTTTTCTAATTTCTTTTGTGCATTTTCATCTTTTTTGTCGTTACTCAACATATCAATCTAGAATAAAATAATTTATTATTGCTCAAATATGAACTTTCTTTTGAATTATATAATTATTCAAACTTTGTATTTATACACACCCAATGTAAATAATATTTTTCTTTCAATTTCTTAGCTTGATGTGCCTGTCCTAAAGTATTTTTTAATAATTTTTTCTTAAAATTTGGAAGACTTCCTGTATCGTGATTTATTTCTAATAAGCATTCTATATAAAGAGACCACATTTCTTCTGTTTTAATTTTTTTTACAGCCGTTTGATAAACTTTATTACAAGAAGTTATACGATCTCTTAAAGAAGATTGCTCAGATGAATTAACTTCCATTATTGATTCATCAGATACAAACGGTTGTACTAGACCTTCCAATTCACGGCGTGCCATTGTATCCCACATTAAGGGTTCATGTGCGTATTGTTGGATCATATCGCTAAAATATATAAATACAATGAAATAAATTTAATTTTAAGTTATTATCTATATATGAAGTAAAATTTACCTAACAATTTTCTTCTGTAATTTTTCTGCCTTGTATTCTTTTGTAATATTCAGTAATTCTATAATAAACTTGATATCTTCTACACATTTGCTCGCTTCTTTATATACAATATAAGCTCTTTTTAATGGTAAAGGCATGTCATTTTCATCATCTACTCCAGATGAAGTGCTTTGTGTTTTATTTTCATTATCTTCAGTATTGTTTAATGTTTCACCCAATTCTAATCTGCAAGAAACATAAAATATTACTCTTATCCAAAATGGCATTCATATAAATTCATAATAAATTCATATTAATTTTTATTTACCTAAAAGTATCAATAAATAATAATTGCGAATTTGGATGAATATGTAAACCACGAAGAAGAAATTGACGAGCAGTTTGTCTATTATTATTTTCTTCAATTTCCCATTGTGCTGCGATGTGCCAACATTTTGGCTTATCTTGATGTACTTGTAACATTTTACCTATCATACGACTGACACTACTTTGAAAACGCTAAAACAAATAATTGTATTACAATTATTGAATTTAATCAATTTCAAATTTATTTACAATATATAAACTTACCACATGTTTACAAAATTTTATATATGCAATCCAAAATCTAATATCATCTTGGAACTTAAATATAGCTTCTTTGTATAAATGATTAACTTTATTCGCAATTGCATAATCAATATCAGATTTTTTATGAGTAATACCAAATTTCTAATAAATAACAGAAAGATATATATTTGATTAAAATATATTAAAAATTATATAATTGTATTCAATATCATAAAAAGAAAAAAAAATACAAAGATCATTTACATCTCTACGTTGTTTAATAAGCTTCAAGAGATCCATTTCATATTGAATATATCGTAAATAGTCTTCTTTACATTTTGTATGTCGCTGAACTTTATATTCAAATTCTTTAAGCTTTTTTGCTATACCTCTGATGGAATAATAAATAAAATTTATTATTAAAGGTATTATCAAAAGCAGTGTTGTTGTAAAGGTTATAAAATTAAAATTAAATGTTGTAAAGGTTATAAAATTGTTGTTGTAAAATTAATGCTAATATTAATATTATATAGATTAAATTTTATTTGTATTTTTATAGACAAAACGATAATTTAGTATCAATGTGTATCATAACATACCGAATTTCATTTTTATCAAAAAGTTTTATTCTTTCCATTTGTTCCAATTCAGGAATCATATCCTCACATCGTTTTTCTACAAATTCTGCCATTCTGACCTGTTTTTATTTATATACTTAAATATAAAACTTATATTATTATAAATATTAAATTATAACGTGCTATATAAGCAATACTACTTTTCTCAACCATGTGAAAGGAACTAAATCCAACGACTATACAGAAAATAATACATACGTACTCATAGTAAAAAAAATGAAACTCTAATACTACGCCATCTGAAATTGAAAATGCAAACTATAAGTTATAAGCAATTCTTTCATACTTTAATTCGTAATCCCTGTTAATTCTATCGTAAAAGAGGTCGTGAGAGATTGTACTTATGTATGACGATGTAGTTTGTATTATTCTGTAATGATAATTCTTAAAAATATTAAATACACTTAAACAATTATTCGAATTTACAACGATATGACAATATTGGAAATTGGTTAATTTTATAATATCAGTATTAAAATATTGAATAGTGTCATTATTTTCAAAAATGTTCAGGCGAAATAGGTAATTATACGAGTTGCATTTTTATTGCTTCTAATACATTTGATAAAGGAGATTAAATATTGAATTTTATATTTTTGATTGTAAGGAACTTTAATATTACTTATAGATTTCTTGTTTATTATATAAGTTGACCAACATATCATAACGAAATAATGAAAGTTTATTAATTAGGTTAAAACATAAAATGATTTGCATTGGTACTATTATATTAGCCACTATAATTTATAATGAATATTTTGTGTATGAAATACAAAAATTTAAGTGGGCTTTAAGAGACTGTAAAGACTGTGTTAAAGTACTTCTTGTGGCAGATCCACAAATATTAGGAGAGAAAAATGAGAATTATATGGGTTCGTGGTTAGCGAGATGGGATAGCGATAGGTAAGTATAATATAAAAATGAATCATTTATTATAAATTTTTTTAACTTCTTCTTAACTTAAATATATATTATGAGGAACTACAGAAGATATATTTTCTTTTGTAAAACATTTAATGGAATGTAAAAATTGATCTCAGTTTTGTTCCACAGTGTATTATTTACAGGTACTTAGAGAAAACCTTTTCAAGAGCTTTAAGGTACTCTCAACCACATGTGATAGTATTTCTTGGAGATCTCATGGATGAAGGACATATTGCTAATGTAGAAAAATTTAATCAATATAAAAAGAGGTTGGACTCTATATTTCAAACTCCTGACAATATCATGGTATATAGTTTTAAAAAATGATTTTTAAATGATCTATTTCATGTCAGTATGATTAATATTTTGTCTAATTTACTTAATATCAATTAGAAAATCTATTTACCTGGTGACAATGATATTGGGGGAGAAGAAGATAAAGTCTCCACAAATATTCATAACAGATTTCATTATGCATACAGTCAGCCTGACGTATTAGTTTATAAACGTGTTACATTTTTTAAGGTAATATATCTAGATAACAGATTTTAAATCTTTTGATTTTTATAAGATTCATTTTATGTTCTAATATATATGTATATATGTATTTTTTTGTGCAGATAAATAGATTGACTCATTTTATGCCAGAAGCTCCTAAAGATGCATTTCTTAATGATTATACAGAAAGAAATACAACCAATGTTGTACTGAGTCATATGCCATTGTTATTTTTGCCAGGAAGTTTTGTACAAAATGTATGTCTATAAATATGTTTATAAGTAAGAACGATATATGATGTTTTTTATTAATTTATTTTCTTGTAGATTATCAAAGAATTATCGCCGCAAATTATTTTTACTGCGCATGAACATAAAGCATTACATATTAGTTTGGATACAGCCACGGATCAATTAAGCGAAGTTTGGATTCTCCCACCTCATGAAACACCTTTGTATCAGTTAAGAATGGATGTAGGTGATATCCATGAAGTTCAAATACCAACATGCTCTTATAGAATGGGTGCTCAAAATATGGGTTATGGAATTGCATATATTGGTATAAAAACAAAAATAATAATAGTATTTTTAATTTTATTACATAATGAACTATTTCTAGTGTGTGTATATATATATATATATACTTTATTCTTATTATAGATACTCAAGAAAAAATTGTAGAATTTACAATTCTATGGTTACCAAATAGGTTTCTGCAGCTGAAGACATATATTTTTATTATAATAGTAATGGTTTTGTTATTATTGTGTTCTTGTATATGCAGTCATTGCTCTAAAACTTATACAACATACAATCGTATACCCACCATTTCACAGTACAGTAAATCGTAAAAGATGTTGATGTTAAGAATTTGATTAGTATTTATTTAGTGACAGTAATCCGTCCAAATAATGTGATTGTTCTATTATCCATTGAATATTTTAAACAAAATTTCATCGAAATCAAAAATATTATTAATATTATATATTAATATTTCGCTTTATTCTAATAATCAACGATGAAAATTTTAATTTTATTTAATGTATCTATCAAGGGTTTCTCAAAGTTCCTTTATTATATAATATAAATATACATACGTGCCTGTATCAGTGTTATGCACGTTCGTTATTATGTACTTGTGTAACACTAGTACAAAGCTTACACAATGCCAAGAAAATTATATCGATTAATATTTTTCTTATATAAACAATTTAAGGAGTGTTACTGTATATAAAATTATATTTAAATATTCAATAAAAATTCAATAATCATAAATTGGACACACATATATATAAGGATGTAAATTTTAAGAAATTACCTAAGAAATCTTAATTGTGATTTGTTTCATTTATAGCAAAGTTATTATTTAAACAATTACGAATCTGTTTATTTTTGCGTTTTAATGAAATTATAATAATCCTATATCTATGCTATGTATACGTATACGATTATTTCTCTCGTTCTTTCTCATTATTTATAATTTATAATTAGAAAGAGTTAAATAAATATGTATGTTAACTTTCAATGTTAGCTGTGTAATCATTTTTTTTTCAATTATAAGATAAACATATTGTTTCATTTATTATATTTTTTTATTAACATTTAAAAAATTTTTAATTTTTATTTCCTATATTTATTGTACGCATTCTTTTATTATTAATTCTCCGATTATAAAAATTTAATATATACGTATATATATATAGATTACATTAAATTATATGCGTCTGCGCATAATGAATGCGCATATGAATGAAAACATTTGACGTAATAATGAAGCCGGCTATTGAATTCGTATATTATTTTATCAAAATTAATTAGTTATAAACTATTAATAGTAATACATTTTACAAGTAATTAATGTGCTTCAATAACGTAAAATTTCTATAAATAAAATGGGGAAAAGAAAAGCACCTGATAATGCAGGAAACCCTAACCAAGATTTATGTGATTTTCTAATGGGTAAATATTAATTCGTGCATTTATATAAAATATATATATATATATATGTATATGTGTATATATATATATATATTTAATAACCAGATATTTTTATTGCAAATACATATAAGCTACACAAAAATCTAAATACGTATATATATCATATAATTTATTTATAGAACTGGCAAATTATGAAAAAAATGTTAGTAAGAATATTTACAAATACAATGCTTATCGTAAAGCAGTCGGTAGTTTAAGTACTTTAACCGACAGAGTCAAGAGCGGGGAAGAAGCTAGAAAATTGCCAGGAATTGGAGAAAAAATTGCTAAAAAAATAGATGAATTTCTTAAAACTGGAAAACTACGCAAATTGGAAGAAGTAAATAAATTGCAATATATATCTATTATATCATTAATATTGATGTTAAACATCATTTTATTGTAGATTAATAAGAATGATAATAACGTTGCAATCAATCTCTTAACTCGTGTTTCTGGTATTGGACCTGCAAAAGCAAAAGAATTAGTGGATGATGGTATTAAAAGTTTAAACGATTTAAGAAAACATCAAGACAAATTAAATCACCACCAAAGACTTGGTTTAAAGTATTAATGATAAACTTTACAATTGTCATTTATTATATCGATATTTATCATTATTATGAAAAATATTAATTACATTTTCTTTTCCAGGTATTTTGATGATTTTGAGAAAAAAATACCAAGAACAGAAATAACTGAAATCGAACAAATATTAAAGAAATATATTTATGAATTGAATAAAGAATATATTATTACTATATGTGGAAGTTATAGACGTGGTAAAGAAGCAAGTGGAGATATTGATGTATTAATAACTCATCCAAATTATATTTCTGAGGAAAAAGAATTGAAAAAGAAGAATGATATACTTAAAAATATCGTTGAATATCTTGAAAAAAAACAGTTAATTACAGATACAATTTCTCTTGGGCCAACAAAATTTATGGTACACAACCTTTCATTTTGATAAGTTTAGTAATGATTTCTTAATTTAAAATTTTATTCATAGGGCGTGTGTCGTATACCAAATGATAAAAGTAAGTTATTCAGACGACTGGATATAAGATTGGTACTATATGATCAATATTATTGCGCTATACTTCATTATACGGGCAGCGATCTTTTTAATAAAAATATTAGGGCTCATGCGTTAGAGAAGAAATACACATTAAATGAATATACATTAAAACGACTTACAACAGAAGGTACTTATAAATAAAATTTTTTAAATTGTATGCAATAACAAAATTTTAATGACAATCTTTATTTTAGGTGTTCCAGGAGAAGCTGAAAAAATCACATGTGAAGAAGATATTTTTAAAATATTGGGACTTCCTTATAAAGAACCAAAGAATCGAAATCTTTAAACTCTTTTATTCTATATATATGCCAAAATTTATTTTGAACAATGCATTAATATTTTAATATTTATAGTAAGAAGTTCGAATATGTACATAAGTCTTAAATTTTGAATCTAAAGGGAAATACTTTTTGAATCAATAATCAAGAATCGTATAAAATTAATGATATTTATTTGTAAAAATAGCATGTAACTATAATAAAACCAAGTATTATTATTTATTAAACTGTAACAAATATTCATTATCTCTTCTCCATGTTATGTGTAATTAGTATTCTCTCTGTACCTTATTATAATAACACTTACATTGCTTTATTCAATAATAATACAGTTTAATTGTTCATTATTAATTGGAGAATAGCAATAATCCAATGAATATTAAAAGAATTAATTTTTTTCGAATACATAAAAAGTTAATGTAAGTAAATAATTATCTTAATATCTATATCACGTTCCTTTCAGAAAATTAGACTGTAATTACAATATCCTTTTTATAAAGTATATATGAAATAAATAACCATAATGTTGTTGTCCACAGATTTATAATAAGTTGAGTAGAATGTGTTGGATAATTTTCTTTCCATGACCAAGGAAATAATCCCATTGTAACAGTATGTCCAATATAAAGAAATATTGAATTAGCTCCTGTACAACAAAATTTTATATACATATACTCGGAAATGCATTTAAATTAAAAGAATACTAATGGTTACAATTATAAATATATTTTGTATTATTTACAGACCTGCATATATGAATGGTGCTCCAGTCCAAAATTGCTTATAGTCAATTAAGTAATACAATATAGCAAATAAAAGAAAAGCAAAGCTGCATGTTGTCAATACAAACGAAATTGTCATCATTTTTTTGCTAAGTGGTATTATACCGTCTTCTTTACTAAAGTCGCATAACACTCCAGCAATAATACCCTAAATTAATATAATTAGATAATATGTATCTTTTTACTTATACACTTTTTTTTTGTTAATATATCAAATGAGTTAAATAGAATTTTGCATAAATTTGTATACATATATGTATGTATTTATTACATAACATAGAAAAATAATTTACCATAATCAATGACCACAACAACCATCTTAAGACCTTTGAACTACATTGATAATAATATAGTAAAATTTTGCCTGCATGGATCCCCAAATAGACGATAAATATGGCTGATATAGTATTCATAATTCCTAGAAATATTACATTAAACATGTATAATATATATATATTGAAAAAAAATATATATTTAAAACTAATAATAACATGCCTTCAGGATCATGCTGTAATATAACTCCATACACAGGATTTTTTGTCTGAGAGTACATGTGATTACCAAAGACATATCTGTCTATATAACCAGCTGCACCACCAGTACAATTCATGTACTTTTTGAAAGTATCATATCCCCCTGGTCCTAAATACCCTTTTGGACAATTTGGGACTGGCAAGAGAAAAGTTATTAAAGTGTGAGCAGCAACAATAGTTAAAATGATTAACCACTGAATCCAATTCTGTAGAATATCTCCTAAAATAAAGAATCGTTCAAACTGCAACAATTAATTTAACGATATTATTTTCTCACTCTTTTTAAAGTCTTTTTAAATAAAAAGTTTATTTAAATAAATAAAAGAAACGAACCTGTATATGCGATTTCATAAATATTGTCTCTATCACGGCGCAGACAAAATAGGAAATTGCTAAAAGTTGTAGAACACCAGGAAAACGGAGATCTTGTAAATATTCACTTTTTTGACTATTAATCATTAAACCAAAAAATATTAATATCAGTGATCTGGTAAAATTACGTAAAATTATTTTTGATCGTGAAGATGTATTACGAAGCTCTGCTCTTTTTGATATTGCTATTGTTAAACCCATTATCCATGCAAACCTGCAATATAATCTTATAATATATCTAATTTAATCATATAAAAAAAATTAATTAATAATAATTTACCAAGGAAGCACTAAGTCAGCAACAGTAAGACCAAACCAAGCACTATGATTGAAAAATACATACTTTCCTCCTCCATTATTAACAAATATCATTAACAGTATAGCAATACTAGAACAGAAGATGAATATTTTATTATAAAGATACAAAAATATTATATATAAAATTTATTTAACTTTAGAAACAGAATTACCCTCGAAACGTATCAATTGATTGGATCCTTGTACTTAACCGAGTTATATTCATTGCTGCTGGAATTGGACTTTCAGATTCTTGTAATCTTGTTAAATCCTTTATAATTACACATTTGAAAAGATAATATAAGATTATCATTTAAAAGATAATATAATGTTATTAGAAAAATAATAAATTTAATAATTATTTAGATATCTTATTATGATTATCTGAATTTTATATACTTACATCATGGATGAACGTTGTATTTTTCCAAAAATAATATTTTATAGCTCTCACAATTACTTTTCCTATTTGCATTACAATTATTGATATAATTAATATCATTAATGCTGCTAGTAATGCTAGAAAATAAAACCGTAATCAAATTATATATTATAATTTTAATTATAGTATAGAAATAATGTATTAAAAACATTTTTTTATGACAAAGTAAAGATATATAGCTTACGAAAATAAGCATCAGATGGTTCATTAATTATATAAACATTTGAACATATATTTTCAGCAGAGAGATTCCACCCATAACTTCCATGTTCTTTAAATGCATATGTTGTGCTACATGGAAATTTATAAATATAATTATATACTTAGTGAAGAATTTAATGAAAACATCTGACTATATTTATGTACACATATGTGTATATATTTTTTACTTACTGACACCACTCATAATGATTACTCATATAATACATATGAAGTGGATATTTTGTAGACACTAATAATGTTGTATTACTTTCTGCAGATAAATTGGTTGTTGGTATCCCACGACACTACGCAGAATAAATAACGTAAGTATTATTTTGCATATATATAGATATGCCAATTATAACATTTGCTTTATTGTAAATACATACCAATCTACATTCAGAAAAAGTAGAATAGAATGTAAGATTATGTTTATATTTATTTATAATACTAAAACATGCTTGATCAATTCCAAGTGATGCATTCGGATTTAAACAAATATTAGTTGCTTGTTTCATGATAGAAGCCATATTTTGTTTTATGCATTTGCTATTAACACATTACTTTTTCTAACTGTAAAAACCAAAGAGGTATCATTATTAAGATAACATATACACATATTATATTTAGATTTTAATAAATATTACTTTTATATAAATTTTGAATATATATTACCAAACAAAATTGTATAAATAACTTACTATCAAGAGATTCATAACAATTCGACAACTAACATTCAATATAAAAACTATTATAAAGAAAAATCTTGCATTATATTGTTATTATTTATATTACCTGCAAATTAATAGCATCCAATATTTTATTGTTTTAAGCAAATAATTGTAAGTATTAAATAATTGTGAGACTTAAATATTAAAATGACAATTACGCACTAATTAATGATGTTCATCACCTTTCACTTGAAATCTGTGTGACTTCAGCGACAATTACGGACAAAATATGAACTACAAGTGCAACCGGAGAACGATGTTCCATTATGCATCTACTATATTGGCGTATAAGCTTGTGTTGGTTTATCTTCTTATAATGGCAAGCAATTTCTAAGATATTATTTTAGAATTTTTTTAAGTCTAATTTTATTTTTATTTTTTGTAACACGATTAATAATGTAAAATGAGAGTACTTTAATTTTTAGAATGATATGAAAAAAGAAAAAAAAACATTTAAGAAACGCATGAAGACATGCGGTCATATATTATACTCGATAGTACTTACGGTATAATATATATTTGCATATGATCTAATCTAATCTAAGTCTAAAATTCTATATATTTAAGTTTAATTGTATGGAAAGAGAGAATTTCGATGATTACTCTTCAAAAAGCAAAAGAAAACTATTTCGATATTCGTTAAAGTCAATCTATCGTTCACTTTTATCGATATTATGTATAACCAATAATTCTGAGATCAAAATAAAAATGTATTTAATATTAAGTTAAAATTATTTTATATTTTATGCGTATTACCAGCAATGTAATATTAATGCGAATCTATTATTGTTTAAATATTGATCTATTGTATCCCGTATTCATTATTCATTGTTTAAATAATTATAAAATTATAGAAAGTAAAAGTTATTTAAATTTTTTTTCGTATTTTTGAATTATATTTCTATAGCTATCTAATTTTAATGATTAATTTCGTTAGTTTGGACTAACATAGTATCCATTTAAGTAGTTCTTAAATTCGTATATCATATTTTTAATGTTTCCATATTTTTGTATAATGGAAAAATTACATGCTTCGTGGGAGTGGGGAGGTTATTGCACAAGTGGCGTACTGCGCATGCGCCTGTATCCATTTAGGCTTCTTGCTATTGGTGATTCTTCCATTTAGAATTATTTCGTCGTATTAGTCACAGCACACCTTCGTCGTCTCGTTAATTACAGGTCATTAATATATTCTTTTTTAAAATATATCTTTATTTTATATATCAATCGATTTCCCAAAATGCGATTTCCATGCATATATATTCGCAAGTCGTGACATCGTCTTGTTTAAAAAATATCCGCGAAAATATTATCGGCGTTTTGGCTTCTCCTTTGGAGCTATGACGTCATATTTATTTCTCGGATTTTCCAGCTTTATTTTTGAGATATCGATACTTTTCTTGTCCTTTAATAGTGCTCTAATTAATATTTCTTTATTTAATTAATCATGTTCGATTGTATTTCGTCATATGTATGATTTTCATATATATATATATATATATACACACACACACACACACAAATAGATATCTTTCTTACGGACAGATACAAATATCGATAAATCCTGCATGCATATATAATCGCATACAATTAATTTTTTACTCTATATCGATATAATATTTTTCAATTGTCCGAGTAGCATACAAACTATGAAAACTACGTAAAACGATAGAAATAATATTTGAAATGTAATTGTCTTCCACGCATACGTAAGTTTATGTTTTTAAATAAATATGGCTCTTAATAGAGTGTGTGTGAGAGAGAGAGAAAGAGAGAGAGAGAGAA